ATAACCTGTCAATACACCGGGATAACCCACGTATGCAGTACACTGCATTTACAATTTCTCAATGTAACACGTACACTAAACTAAATTATCAAGTATAAATCAGAATACAATGACAATGTGGTATAACATATTAACTCCACCAGTAAATGTCTTAGTTTCTCCTACATTTTCCAAATTCTGGTAGACGGTTACACTATTAATAATAAATATTGTTAAGTATATTAAACCAAAAACAAAAAAGGGAAGTTAACATTGAACTTACTCTTATTAAACCAATTGGTCACCAGATTTTAACACAAACAAAATACATCAGATCTATAAGCCATTGTGAAGTCAACTGCACTGACCATCTGCATTTTACAAGGTAATGTGCCTATACTCTTACATCTGTTCAGCATCTGTTTTAAGGTTAAGTGAAAACAATGTCAATCCACCCCTCATGTAGCTTCAGTCCCGTGTTGTTATTAATTCTGATGTCATCTTGTATCTTCAGAATTTCTAGGTGTTCCTGTAGTCTTTTTTTAGTTGATTGTTTTCTGTCNTAATCGGTTCTCCTGTTCCAAAGATTTCCATGTCTTATCTCGTCTTTCATCTATCTAACTCCGTTCTCGAGATTATAAGTCCAAATTTTTTCAAATTGCAACCGAATTAGTCAGGAATTTTGGTTCCTGAGTCGTCAATTTTTGTCATTCACCTCCTCCAAATCTAACAACTAAGTGATGCCACTGCTAAGAAAGCCGTTTTTATCAAATCCATTGTGGGCTCGGCTACCCCATTGTGGGCCTAGCCATAGTGAGACAAGGACACATATCTGGAAGGACCACCCCGAAAATTTCCTGAGGTTTTTCGACCCGAAATTAAATCCGGCTCTTCCATAGCGGCAAGTTGACTCACTAATCTTTTTTATATATATAGCTGTTCTACGTTTACACCAAAATAAATCTCAATTGTTTTCAGCATGATATTAGAATTATAAAATGTTGAAGTAAGCAAGAGAACTTTTAAAATTGATGCTGATTTTTTTATTCTTTTGTTGGATACTAACTTATAACACGGTCTTTTTCCATTTCTATTATGTGTTCGGACATGTCCACATTGGGGACAAGTGCGAGACGAGTGGGTCAAATATATCCTAGAGGAATAAATTTCGGGGATTGATTATCTGGATACGATCCCGGATCTCCCAAAGTGATAGGCCGTTCGGCTGTGATTAGCCGTGCCAAGTCAACTGGATAGCCAAGCGATTAAGGTGTCAGTCTACCATTATGGAGACCTGGAATCGAAAAAACTCGAAACAATTCCCGAAAATTTCCGTATTTCGGGAATTGTCTGTCCGGATATGTCAGACCTTTCGCTCACTACCCGGTCGCCCATTATGGGCATGGTTAAACCGAAATGGGCTTGATAAAAATAAAAGCTCTCTTACGAGTTAGTGCCCGCGGGGCAGGAAGAATTATAAGAAAAAGCCGTGTCAAGTTTAAATTAGACAACAGTTTTTTTTTTCTGAAAATAATTTAAGTATTAATTATAATTATCTTTCAATTAACTTTATTTATTATGTTTTACATTTCTATTTTATTATTAGATTTTTATAATGTTGCCAACTCTATTTAATTATGAGTTTGCAACACTGTAACGATACATGTAGCAAAAGTTAACTGTTGTTTTTGTTTTAAGGTGTAAAAAATTATTGAAAGGAAAGATTGAATCAACATGTATCAACAAATATGGAAACGTTAAATGAATAATTATGATTTCGATTCTTTCCATTATATCTTCTAAAGTAGATATATTCATTTGGGAAAATTGTATCCTTCTGTTATTGATATATTTAATTTGATGATTTCAATTGAAAAATAATTAAAAAAGACTTATGGATCTTTAATTATGCTTGTAGATAGAAGAGATGTTCCAAAGGATAAACTCAATCATTTTACATATATTCTATTGAAATCGCCTGTTGGATCACTTCCTCCTACTTTAGTAAGAANTGAACAACTGCAATCTAATGAGTAAACTACATTATCTTTTTCTAAAACATTATGTTCAATGTTACCATGTTTACTGTTTAGCAAATTTGCTATGGTGCTTTTGTGGTTTGGTACTAAAATAATATCTAATCTTTTTAATTCATTTTTTAATTTTTCAAAAACACCAAAAACATATTCTATTTTTAGGTACACAGTCTTAACATCTATTGGTTGTCTATTTAACGATATATTTTTCCTTTTGCCTTTACATGCTTCCAACCACTTAATCAATAATGTTCTAGGGTAATTATTTAGATTAAACATTCTTATTATATTTTGTATTTTCATTTTTTGATCGGTTTGCAAGGTCGTTCTTTCTTTAATTTTGTTGATATACATTTGAAAAGTGTTCTTTTATATATATAAAGGTATATTAGATTTGAACTCAATAACTTTACCGGTAGCACAGTCTTTAACATACTTTTTAAATAATAATTTACCATTTAATCTAACAATAGTAAGTTCTAAGTAATTCAGTCTATTATCTACTTCTTTTTCACATTGGAATTGAACATTTTTATTTATTAAATTAATTTCACAAACAAAAGAGTCAATATCTAGTATACTTTTGTCGTAGACGATGAAACAGTCATCTACATATCTGTGATAACTTATTATGCCTCGGGTTTTGTTGATTTCTTTATCAATTGTGATCATACACAACCCTGCCAATCTAGGACCTATGCAGGATCCCATTGGAATACCTTCCGATTGGCGGTAATATTTACCTTGAAATTCAAAAAAGTTATTATTTAGCACCAATTTAACTAATTGGTTAACCCAATCTGGGCTCATCACATCGGACAGTGAATTTAAAATTAATTCTAAGTTTATGGAGGGATACATATTGTTAACATCTAGTGATGCCATTCTGTAGTTTTCCTTCATAACAATAGCTTTCATGTTTTTTAAGAATTGGTCAGTGTTTGGGTGGGTGTTTGTGATGGGTACTCAGAGATGAGTAATTTCAAGGTTATATAGCAAAGATTTTCGAATATCTATCAAGGGACGATAAGTAACAGGATTTTTGTGTGTTTTTATTCTAAAGCTTATTTTCGGAATTCTATTGCCAAAACATTTAATATTTTTAGTAGTGTTATTATCTATGTAATTAAGTTTTGAAAAATTGTTTATAAGCTTTAAAACTTGTTTTTTAAACTATTCACAGGGTTATCAGCAAGTAATGTATAATTTCCATTTTTTAAGATATCTAATATTATATTATTATAATTATGCTTGGTCAAGACAATAGTTTGTTTTGTGTTATCAGCCTTTGTTAGGATTAGATTATTATTTTCCAAAAATTCCTTAGCCTTATTTATTCTATTTTTAAATTTTATAATTTTATTTTTTTCTTTTTTGTTTATCCTATAATTTTTCACTAAAGATTGGATATTGCTTCTAATAGATTGAACTTCTTCTTGATGTTCATGATTAATTAAGCCTGCTTCTAAATCAACTACTATTTTCCTTTTGTTTAAAGGGGTGGGTCCATTAAAATCTAATCCTAATACCAAAGTGTCTTTTATATCAGGTGGGATCTCTACATCACTATGATTAAGTAATAATTTGTTTTTCCACAGTGGGAAAACAAAGTGGGAAATTTTAAAAGATAGCATCACGTGTATTATGACAGAAAACAATCAACTTAAAAGAAGACTACAGGAACACCTAGAAATTCTGAAGATACAGGAAGACATCAGAATTAATAACAACATGGGACTGAAGCTACATGAGGGGTGGATTGACATTGTTTTCACTTAACCTTGAAACAGATGCTGAACAGATGTGGGGAGTTTAGGCACATCACNCAGCATCTATCCCTGGTGGTGAAGAATAAGCTGGGTGCAGCATGACTTTGGCAGATCTACCTCTCATTCTTTGTCGAATGTTTAACTTTTCAAAATCCTTTTGGGCATATGAGTGTTTGTAGAAGATGGTATAAGGATCTTGTTTCATGACCTTAATGATCTTAATATTGGGCCAATTCACTAAATTATTATTTTCATTTTTGGAGAAATTGTTTCCCATTTGTTGGGATAAGTCTTTCACGTTTAAGATATCTGCTGTATCTAGTTCAGTCACATTATAAACGCTGCCTTTTTTCTTGGCTAATTTCAGTACTGGTACCCATTGAGCAGGTAGTGCTATTGTCCCACCTTTAACAACTTCGTTTTTCACGCTCAATGGTGGAATGCATTGAATCATTCTCATTCTATGTGTGCCCTTGAATGAGAAATTTGTGAGTAATAGTGTTAATATGGTCTATATTATTTACACAGTATAAAAGTAATGAAGCAATGAATTTATTCTTGTTCTGCCCTGCACAATTATCTGAAAACAAAACTACTTCATTAACTGTATTGGGCAATGAAGTAATGAACTTATAGAGGCATGTTCCAATTTAATTTGAACCTCGTTTGGCCAAGCCTTCATGCCAAAAATAACAGTGGTCCTTACTGTTTGAAATATCATAAATTGTAAAGTTGTAACATGAGAGCTTCCTTTTGTAGTATAAGGCAAAGTATAAATTAGGCAAGGCATTTAATAATTATTTATATCATTCCGTGGTATAAACAATAAATTCATATAAATAATAAATTCCTATACAAATAAAAATAATTTAATGTTAATTTAAAATAATCGCTAGGGCGCCTCTAGTGGCCGTTTTTTGGCATACCATTACACGGACCGACAGACGGACACACATTCATTGGGTTATATAGATAGATAGATTTAGAATGCAAAAGAGTTGCAACTTTATATGCAACTTTCTTTCACCAAGAATGCAATTAAGTGAAAGCTGAAAACTGTTACAACTCAATATATATGAATTAACCTGGACTAGATTGAAAACACAGATTAAGAAATGGTATGAAACAGATTCCACTGTGAAGAAAACAATTAAAATGTATGACAGAATTCAAGGGAAATTGGAATCCGCCTTTTCGTATGTTTTAGATAAACTAGAATTAATTACTTATTTAAATCACGAATATTCGGAGATAGAAAAAATCGAACTATTAAACAATGGTCTGCAAAAGGAAGAATGAATGTCTATTGCAAATAAAACATTCCACACCTTAGATGACTATACCAACGCCATTATGGAATTAGACTCGATAACAAAGAGAGAGCGCGAAAAATACTACAAAAGTTTCAGTGTAGGTGAATGTTCAAACAGGCCTAATGGAGTTTCAAGGTCGCCTAAGCCTTACAGCCATTTTTACAAAGGACAATCGAGTCGTCAAAATCGCGAACTAATGGACCGTGAAAGAAAATCCGTATACAATAAGCGTTCTAAAACCTTTAGGAGAACTAACAATAGAAACAATGACATACAACCAGAACATGCTATATCTCGAAATCAGTCAGTCTCAGAAGAAAGTTCTCACGATATTATTTGCCATAACTGTTGGAAAAGAGGTCATTATAAGAAAATCTGAAAATATCCAAAATTTTATGCATTCGAAAAAATGCGCCAACTCATGGATAAACTCGAAAATCAAAATGAGGAACAAAAAAACAATGGATCAGGCTTTCGAGGGAGAGCCCTGTTTTCAAGCTGCTAGAATCCCTCCTTACCTTTTAGAGTGTCTCGCAATTTTGAAATCAAATTACGCACTATTTATTTGGAAATTGAAGGATCTCCGTTTAGTGCCATCATTGATACGGCCTCAGAGAAATCATTGATAAGCCGAAAACTATGTATAGAATTAAGACTGAAAATACGTGCTGAATCTATTAAACTAATCGTAGCAGATAATAGAGAGATAGAGTGTGAAGGTANTTCCCTATCATCAAATATCACGGCACGTCATTGCTCATCAAATGATAATGACAATCACAATGAAGATTCAGCAAGCCTCTCTGATAACAAATATAATGTGGATGACTTTATTCTGACAAAGGTTTCTTGAAAAACTAACAACACGATATTTTGTTTCAAAAATAGTGATTGCATATTTGGACGAGGACTTCACTGACAAATGGCTGAAGAAGAACGAACAAATTTCAGTTTTCAGATGAAAAAGAGGCAAATATAAGCAAGCTTGACATTGTTTGAAAGCTGCCTTGCCCAGTTAAAAAAGATGAACATTGCCGTTTTGCTAAAAGTTACGCATTTACTTTTGATTTTTTTGCGTATGGAGTTATTTACAATGGCATTTCGTATGTATTCAGTTAACCCCGTTCTCATCTGTATAATGTAATCGTTTTCCGTAATATAAGTGCTATAAGAACACATCACGGATGAAAATTTAAGTTTGTTTCATGATATTTAGAAAAATTATCCAAAGAAATTGATTATCATTGGTTGTTTAATCTACAATATTTCTGCATTAAAAAAAAATTCAAAATAGTCTTTGTATTATCGGTCATAGTTTTTCTACGCTGGTAAGCAAACTAATCTCGTGTGTATTTCGCATGTACGGTATGTTTGAATATTATCGTGAAACTGATAGTAAAGTTACCGATAATTTTAAGAAGTGAGTTCTGTTAACTTTTTTGGGCTTATATTTAAAAAAAATGACACAAGACATAATATTCTTTAAGGTAATAGGTTATTTTTNGAAACTGATAGTAAAGTTACCGATAATTTTAAGAAGTGAGTTCTGTTAACTTTCTTGGGCTTATATTTAAAAAAATGACACAAGACATAATATTCGTTAAGGTAATAGATTATTTTTATACCCGTCATGAGTTCTATCTGGCCCACAATAGGTCAAACAGTTGGTTTTTCCATTGTGGACTAGGCCAAACGAACGTATCGGAGATACCGTTCTTGAAAATTTCTGGAGTTGATCACTAGGATTCGATCTTGGATACCATGAGGTAGACTGATGCGATATTTCTATCAGTCTATTAAAATCTAACAGGCAATTGGGGTCAGATTCTTTTGTAGCAATTAGGGTTTCTCAAACGGGATTCCGGGATCCCGGTTGCTTTTTTCACCCGGGANTACGGTATGTTTGAATATTATCGTGAAACTGATAGTAAAGTTACCGATAATTTTAAGAAGTGAGTTCTGTTAACTTTTTTGGGCTTATATTTAAAAAAAATGACACAAGACATAATATTCTTTAAGGTAATAGGTTATTTTTATACCCGTCATGAGTTCTATCTGGCCCACAATAGGGCAAACAGCTGGTTTTTCCATTGTGGACTAGGCCAAACGAACATATCGAAAATACCGTTCTTGAAAAATTTCTGGAGTTGATCACCAGGATTCGATCTTGGATACCATGAGGTAGACTGATGCCATATTTGTATCAGTCTATTAAAATCTAACAGGCAATTGGGGTCAGATTCTTTTGTAGCAATTAGGGTTTCTCAAACGGGATTCCGGGATCCCGGTTGTTTTTTTCATCCGGGAAATATCCCGGGAAATTTTTCTTATCCCGGGAAATCCCGCAAATTTCTTAAAAATTCACTTGTTTTCTTATTTTGTGTTAAGGTTGAGGAATTTTGCAAATAGACTCTTACGTTACCAGGGTGTAAAATCGTTGTCACTTATTTTTATTTTCAAATTCACCAGGGTGTCAATTCGTTGACACCCTGTAAAAATTCGAAAATTTAAAAATTTTTCGACAATAGATGCCAGCACTTGACGGTAACGTCTTCTATATCGTCTGTTTCACATATTTGCATCCAGGTGGCTTTCGCTGACTTAAAAATTTTTATTTAGTGATTTTTTTCTTCATTTCAATATTTTTTGATAATTTTTTATTATATTTTCAGCATGTTGATGCAATAATCTTACTATAATAAGTTTATTCATGCTATAATAAGTTTATTTATTTATAATAAGTGAACATATTATAACGATTTAAATTGTTATCCTCATTTCTGTGATTTTATATATTTTTTTATTTTTTGTTTTTCAATTTAATTTAAAATATTAG